GCTAAGCCCTCCGCGGCCGACTTAGCCTCGGCTGGCTCGGCCCGGGAGCTCCTCCGGGGCCGAGGGCGGCCAAGCCTGCCCGGGAGCCCCCCCTGGTCCTGGGGAGCCCGCGGCCGACTTACTTACCCTGGGAGCTCCTCTGGAAGTCCCTCCGGGGCCCGAGGGTGGTGAAGGCTGCCCAGGAACCCCTCCTGGAGGTCGGGCAGAGTCTTGGGCCCTGGTCCTGCTCAGTCCTTGCGAAGTGCCTTGCTAAGTGCCCTGTCGCATACACCCCTGTGGTCGCTACGCTCCTGTGGTCGCTTGCCGGCCCCTGGCTTTATGGGAAAGCCGGGGGGCCGGCCCGGGGGCCCATTGGCTGGCTGGTGCCCTCGAAGCACCTAAAGCCTGTTGTGGGAATGAGAGCAATTAAATAATCAAGTCTGCTGTTACACTCAAAGCACCTGGTACTCCCAGGCACCACCCAAAGTCCACTGCCTTACTGGGTAACTAAGATGTCCCCCACTATGTCTGGTACACCTAGCACCACCCAGCTATCCATTCTAAAAGTCCACTGCCTTACTAAGACATCTCCCACTATGTCTGGTGCCCAGCTATCCATTCTAAGTCAGTCAGTCCACTGCCTTACTAACTAAGATGTCCTCCACTATGTCTGGTACACCACCCAGCTATCTATTCTAAGGCCACTGCCTTACTAACTAAGACATTCCCCACTATGTCTGGTACACCAAGCACCACCCAGCTATCCATTCTAAGTAAGTAAGTCCACTGCCATACTGAGTAACTAAGAAACTAAGAAGTTCCCCACTATGTCTGGTACACCAAGCACCATATAAATCTGAATCCATCCAACAATCTAGCCATTATCTTCCTCTTCACCTTTTCAATTACCTATGTCAATAGGTACCTGCACACCCACCTAAGTACTAATAAAATATCTATCTAATTAACTAACTATCTATCTAGCTCATCCAACTATCTAACCTGAGTCCTTTCATCTGTTCCCTGGACACAGCCCCTGTGAGTCTTCCTATGACTCCTCTGTCCTGCACACATTCACCCAGATGCACTGCACAGTACAATGCTGCTGGGCTGGGCTGGGCTAGACACCCAGCACCACACCTATGCACTCAAAAACAAACACATGCACAATAACCATACCTTTGCAGCAGAAAGCCATCCTTTATTGACAGGTCTTTTTCTTCAGCGATACAGATATAGACAAGACTAAAACCCACACCCTTCACCACCGCGCCAAACATGATTGATTGATAAATCCCACTGGACCGCAAGATTGATGTCATCTCTCCGGGGATGCCTTCTTCCTGACTACTTCCTTTCACTGGACACAGCCATCCTTCAGTCCCACTAAAAAGCGTGTAGTTTCTGCATGAGGCACATGGACAAATCCTTCCCTCTTCACAACCTGTTTGGGAGAAAAAAACACAACATTTCAGACAAACAGGAATATTGCTAAGTAAACCAACAACCTTCCTAACTAACAAACCACAATGTTTCATAACAAACAAACAAACAAACAAACAGCAACACTATGTCGAACCGAACCGAACCGAACCGAACCGAACCAAAACAACACCCTTTTAAGCTAACAAACAACATTTCAAACTAAACGAGCAACCTTCCAAACCAACAAACAACACTATTTCAAACTAACAAACACTATTTCAAACTAACAAACACTATTTCAAACTAACAAACAACCTTCAAACTAACAAACATTATTTCAAACTAAGCCAACAAACACCAGCAACCTTCCAAACTAAGAAATAGCAACATTTCAAACTAAACAAGCTACCTTCTAAACTAACAGCAACATTTCATACCAACAAACAACACTATTTCAAACTAACAAACACTATTTCAAACTAACAAACAACCTTCAAACTAACAAACATTATTTCAAACTAAGCCAACAAACACCAGCAACCTTCCAAACTAAGAAATAGCAACATTTCAAACTAAACAAGCTACCTTCTAAACTAACAGCAACATTTCATACCAACAAACAACAGTATTTAAAACTAATACACACTATTTCAAACTAACAACCGTCAAACTAAACCAACAAACACCAGCAACCTTCCAAACTAACAGCAATGTTTCTACCCAACAAACAGCAAGCTTCAAAAGCAACAAATATTTCAAACTAAACCAGCAACTTCCCAAACCAACAAACAGCAATAATTCAAACCAGCAAATTATATTTCAAACTAAACCAGCAACCTTCCAAACTAACAAAAACAGCAACACTTCTAACAAAACAAATAAGTTTTCAAACTAACAGCAGTGTTTCAAACAAAACCCCCAACATTTCAAACTAACAAACAACAACCTTTCAAACTAACAGGAGTTTCAAACTAAACCTGCAACATTTCATGGACTTAGCACTAGCCCACTTGGAGCCAGACCTGCTCCCTAGACACATCTCCACAACGACTAACCCTGCTCCTCAGACACAGGTGACAGCCTCGGGCATGGGCATGGGCATGGGCATGGGCATGTGCACCCTCCCACCCGTGCACGCACAGCCCGGCCAACAGCCACCCTCCCACAGCTTCGGCTCCTTCGCCCAGGCCCCGTGCATGCGCCAGACATGGGCACCTCCAGCCACCAGCATCTCCCTGGGGACAAGGAGGGGCAGCCTCACGCTCCAAGCAGAAGTCCCACGCGTGCTCCACTCCCACACATACATAGTTGGCTGCCCTGGCCTAGGCCGCACACGCAGAGCACTCCCATGCCGAGCAGGGCCACTCGGCTGCTCTCTTGCCGCAGAGACCTGCTCTTTGCACTGCTCCATTACCAAGTTCCTGCCCTACCAAATACTAGGCAGCACAACACAGCACACCAACTCACCCCCTGCATTGACCCCAAAACGTGGCCCCTTCCCAGGGCAGGGGGCACCATCCAGCGCCTCTAAGCACATGACACTCCTGCACACTCTGCTCTTGGGGTGCCTGCACAAATAGTGGGAGCACAGGTCACAGTCCCACAACCAAGGCCAGCCCTGCTCCAAGCCTGGTAATCTGGGTGCTGGGCCCTTCCCCAGAGCTCCTGTCCACACTTCACCAAAATGCCAAAGTTCAGTTACTCCCTGGCGGCCACACAACCCTTGTTGCCACGCTCCCTTTCCACACAGCTACCGGCAGGCACAGGGACATCTGCTCCACACGGCCGGTGCCACCTCGCTGTGCTTGCCGCCCGCAGAGCCTCTCTGCAGCATGAAGCCCTCAGCCTACCCGCTGCACTGAGTGAGGCTCTGTCACAGCAACTCTCACCCCTACGAAGATAAGCCCTGAGCCTTGACAGCCACCAAAGTGAGGACACAAACATAAAAAGCCATTCAGTACTTCCCAGCTTTTTCACACTCCAAAATAGCAAAGAACAGGACCGTCACTGACCTGCACATCCCACACTGTCGTCCCTGCAGGGAGCCGAACGCTGCGTTGCCTCATTCTGACCGTGCGATGCCACAACTCCTCGTACGGACCGGTGAATCCTTCGCAGATCCAGTTCATCTCCTGGGATGCGATGACCTCCTCCGATTCTCCACCGCAGGGGTTGCCAAGAGCAGGCAGAAGGAAGGAAACAGAGAGCATTAACAGGCTGCACACAGGCAAGACCCTGAGGTCCCCAACCCCCTATATGTGCGCACAGCAACCCAAAGGGAGAGGACACCTGCCTCCCTCCTCCCCCTCTCCCAGCCCACAACCAAAACCCAAGGTCCCGGTCCCGGTCCTGGTCCCGGTCCCTCCCTCAGAGGCGTCGGCACCGCCCGCCTGGCACCCCGCTCCTCGTGTCCCCCGGCACTGCCCTCCTCCTGCCGACTGCCTGAGCCACCATTGACAGCATCACACACGACACACTGTTAGGAAGGATTACAACACGTTTTATTCTCACTCAGCCAATTCACATAATACAAACACAAAACATGTCAGCAAAAGAACCGGCCCCCAAGCCTATGGGCGCACCAAGCCAACTCCCGACTCTCCCGCCGGCATCACCGAAACTGGACCCGCTCTCACTCTGCCAGGGGCCGACATCCCTGAGGACACCGTGGCAGCTCCTATCCCTCAAGGACAGCAGGGCTTCCCTCCGCTCTGCACCTCTTCTTGTGGAGGCACAGGCATCTACCCCTGGGAAAAGGCACAGTTTTGGAAGGAAGGGCTCCTTCCTTCAAAAGTTTAGACACGTGGCCTCCCAGGTCAACAGGAGGGGACATGGCCTGTGGTCAGGTACATTAGGGACCCTCTGCTGCAGCTCACTGCTCCCAACGGCAGTTCCCAAGTGTCACCAAACATATGACTGAATCCCGTGCACAAGCATGGAGACCTTGCCTTGGGACACGCACCTCAGGATGACTCCACTCGCTCAAAGGGCACTGCCACTACCTGACTCACCACAGCGCGGGCATAGAGAACACCTGGACCCTGATGCCAGCTGGAACTTGGATGTCCCTGACATCCCAGGCAGAGAGCCCTACCACCCCACACAAACACCATCAGATATGCAGGCCATCACGAGAGACGACCTGGGGAAAAACTACACAAGAAAATCAGCAGGGTCCAGCATTCCTCCAGAAATCATCACGTGCCATCACCTCTTTGAGACACTTTCTGTGCCCTTCCCAGCCTGCATCCTGCTGCCGTTCCTGTTGACTCCTTCCTTCTTCCTGGGCGGCAGCGGTGCGAGTCAGAGGTTGGTTTACTGCTTGGGGGCCCTTGCTCCTATCCTACAGATACTCAGACGTACGAAACAACAGTACCGGACCGGGCAGCAGAGCCGCACATCCCTTATGAGGTCAAGTCCCAGTGACACGCACAGAGCCACAGCAGCAGCTGGGTGGCCGTGAGCACAGGGAGCCAGGCTCGGGGTTCCCCTGAAGAGCTGGAAGCTGCAGAGAGAGCGACAGCAACCGCGTGAGCTTCGCCGCTCTCGCGCACTACCCCCGCCAGCGGCCTCGAAAGCCCTCCTGCCGTGCACAGCTCGCCAGCCTGAGAACAGCGGGTGCCACCTGGGCCCGCCCCACGCGTCCCTTCCGCAGGACTTGCCTCTGCAGCTCTTGCCGTCCCCTTGCAGCGTCCCCGTGACGCAGCTGCACAGGGGCCCGTCCGCCCTGCTCGTGCAGATCTGTTCACAGCCTCCGTTGTCTTCGCACCAGTCCGACCCTGCACAAACAACCCTGCCATGTCCTTGGCGAACACACCTTGACCCTGTGTCCTTCCTGGAGACGCTGGGCAGCCCTGGGGCGCCTGCTGACACCCCCTCCCTTGGCTGTGCTGCAAGACCCTCTGAAGTCCTCCTGTCCCCTGGGCAGAGTTCCCTCTCTGGTAAACAGGACAGGGACGGCACATGGGTGTGCGAGGACTCCCACACCGGGCTGCGCAGCAGCCCCTCGAGTCCCCGGGCACTAGTGGGGCTCTCCTCAGAGCGAGGAGCGGTTGGTGTCCTGGGACTGCCGCCTCTCCCTCGGTTAGTCCTAACCACGTTGCTGGGCG